TGGCGTTTTTGTTGGAGGCCCGTGGGCGGTCTCTAGGCTTTTTTGTGCGCTGTGATTCCTCGGGGCTCTCCCGAGAAGGTTAGGCTGGCGTATTTTGGAGACGTCTGGATGGGTCTTGGGGCAACCTTGAAAACTTTACGGGCATTCCGTGACATTCTCGCGTTGCGTTAAGCATCAGGACGGTTAAACCAATTATTTCTCGCTCTCTCTCTCTCTCTCTCTCCCCCTCGATCTTTCCCTCTCTCTCTCTCTCTTTCCCTCGCTCTATCATATACATTAGCATACACGTGTTTACAAACGTATGTATGCATGTATGTATGTGTGCATGGAGGTATGCATGCAAGTGTGTATGTATGCCTGTCTGCCTGTCTGTCTCGATGTATGTATGTCAGTATGTATGGATGGATGTGTGTATGTATGTACGTATGTGTGTGTATGCGTAATTGTATGTATGTATGTATGTATGTATGTATGTATGTATGTATGCATGCATGCATGCATGCATGCATGTATGTATGTATGTATGTATGTATGTATACCTGCATGCATGCATGCATGCATGTATGTATGTATGTGTATGGATGTATGTATGTATGTATGTATGTATGTATGTATGTATGTATGTGTGTGTATGTATGTATGTATGTATGTATGTATGTATGTGTGTATGATTGTATTATGTATGTATGTATGTATGCATGCATGCATGCATGCATGCATTTATGTATGTCTGTATGTATGTATGTATGTATGTATGTATGTATGTATGTATGTATGTGTGTATGTGTGCATGCATGCATGCATGCATGCATGCATGCATGCGTGTATGTATGTTTGTCTGTATGTATGCATGTATGTATGTATGTATGTATGTATGTATGTATGTATGTAGGTATGTATGTATGTATGTATGTATGTATGTATGTATGTATGTGTATATGTATGTGTGTGGACTCGCCATGGGGGTTCCGGGCTCCCCGGGGACCCTCCCCAGCTTTCGGAGAGCCGCCCATACGGGTTTCAAGTGGCGTCGCAGAGACACCAGAAGGCTTCCAGATGTCCCGCAGAGCTTCTGGGCAGCCCCAGATAGCTTCAAGAGAGCCCAAATCAATTCGACAAGTGTTCCCCAGAGGGCCCTAAGAGGCAATACTCATTAATTTTCTTGAGGTGTTTCGATGTTTTGGGGTTCTCGACTTTCGAGCTTCCGACGCTCCACGATGTCCCAAGAGGCCCCCAAGACCGCTCCAAGACGGCCCAAGATGCCTCCAAGAGGGCCCCAAGACGGCCCAAGAGAACCCCAAGACGGCCCGAAGAGGGGCCCAAGACGGCTCTAGAGGACCCCAAGACGGTCCCGAGAGGCCCCCACGAGCAGGAGCTGGAAAAGACGATTCGAGTTTTCCGTCCCAAGATGCCCCCAGACGGCCCAAGAGGGCTCGCCGAGCGCTCCTCAGAGGGCCCAAAGAGGCAAACACCACTGATCGCCCAATGGTTTTTAACATGTTTTCGGGGCTCTCGACTTTTCCAGCTTCCAGCGCTCCACGACGTTTCAAGAGGCCCCCAAGACCGCCCCGAGACGGGCCAAGAGGCTCGCAAGAATGCTCACAGACGGCCGCAGGAGGGCCCCAAGTGGCCCTTGAGGCGCCCAAGGCGTCCGAAGACGGTTCCAAGAGGGGCCCGAGCGCAGCAGCCCGAAGCGATAATTCGAGCCGTCCGTCCTAAGACGCCCCCAGACGGCCCAAGAAGACTCGACGAGCGTTCCCCAGATGGCCGCAAGAGGCAAACATCCATATTTTCTGTGTTAGGGTTTTATGTGTTTTCGAAGGTCTCGACTTTTCGAGCCTCAGGAGCTCCGCGACGTTTCAAGAGGGCCAAGGGGTCTCCAAGAGGGCCCCAGGACGGCCCAAGACGGCCTTCCCCCCAACAAACAAAAACTAGCCTGGCGAAGGACCCAACCATATGCAGTTGTGAATGCCGCAATTGTGCTGGGTGGTGGCGGACGCATGCGGGCGGTGCCACTGGGACCTTCGGTGGAGCTCCCTATGGGGCCACGAAACGCTGTACTGGGTGGGTGAGACGCGGTCAGCAAGGGCTGTGCTGCGTGGTGGCGGACGCATGCGAGCGGTGCCACTGGGACCTTCGGTGGAGCTCCCTATGGGGCCACGAAACGCTGTACTGGGTGGGTGAAACGCAGGCAGGGAGCAAGGGCTGTGCAGGGTGGTGGCGGACGCATGCGGGCGGTGCCGCTGGGACCTTTGGTGGAGCTCCCTATAGGGCTACGAAGCGCTGTTCTGGGTGGGTGAAGCGCAGGGAACAAGGGCTGTGCTGGGTGGTGGCGGACGCAAGCGGGCAGTGCCACTGGGACCTTTGGTGGAGCCCCCTATGGGGCCACGAAACGTGCGAGGGGTGTGCCAGAATGGGGTGTGGAACCGCATGCCAGCGCAGCCACTGGGGCCTTCGGTGGAGCTCCCTATGGAGCCACGAAACGTGTGAGGGGTGTGCCGAAATGGGGGGTGGAACCGCATGCGAGCGCAGCCACTGCGGCGTTCGGTGGAGCTCCCTATGGGGCCACGAGACGTGTGAAGGGCGTGCCGAAAAAGGGGGTGGAACCGCATGCGAGCGCAGCCACTGGGGCCTTCGGTGGAGCTCTCTATGGGGCCACGAACCGTGTGAGGGGTGTGCCGAAAGGGGGGGGGAAACCAGATGCGAGCGCAGCCACTGGGGCGTTCGGTGGAGCTCCCCATGGAGCCACCCACGAAGCGTGCGAGGGGTGTGCCGAAATGGGGGGTGGAACCGCATGCGGGCGCAGCCACTGGGGCCTTCGGTGGAGCTCCCTATGGGGCCACGAAACGTGTGAGGGGTGTGCCAGAATGGGGGGTGGAACCGCATGCGGGCGCAGCCACTGGGGCCTTCGGTGGAGCTCCCTATGGGGCCACGAAACGTGTGAGGGGTGTGCCAGAATGGGGGGTGGAACCGCATGCGGGCGCAGCCACTGGGGCCTTCGGTGGAGCTCCCTATGGGGCCACGAAACGTGTGAGGGGTGTGCCAGAATGGGGGTGGAACCGCATGCGGGCGCAGCCACTGGGGCCTTCGGTGGAGCTCCCTATGGGGCCACGAAACGTGTGAGGGGTGTGCCAGAATGGGTGTGGGAGGGGGAGGAGGGGGGAGGAGGGAGGGAGGAAGGAGGCGGGAACGCGGGGCACCGTCTCTTCAAAACGAGGACCCAACACCACAGGATGGTTGGGAAAGGGGAGGAGGAGGAAGGAGGAGGAAGGAACGCGGGGCGACGTCTCTTCAAAACGAGGACCCAACACCACACGATGGTTGGGAAAAAAAGACGGCCCAGGAGAACCCCAAGACGCTCGTAGAAGCGCCCAAGATGCCCCAAGAGAGCTCCACGCAGACCGCTTCCTCGTGGCGCTGTGTGTTAAGTGTGTGCTGCCTTGTTGGGGCTCTGGGGCCGCTCTCGGAGCTCCCTCGGCGCCCGCTTGGCCCCCTCCCCCTCCCCCTCCCACTTCCCTCCCCCCCCTCCTCCTCCTCCCCTCCTCCTCCCCCCCCCTCCTCCTCATCCTCCTCCTCCTCCTCCTCCTCCTCCTCCTCCTCCTCCTCCTCCTCCTCTTCCTCCTCCTCCAGAGCTCTCTTGGGGGCCTGTGGGAATGTCAGAGAGCCCCAGGGGGCCTCTGGAGGCTCCGGAGGCCCTGGAGAGGCAAGACACGCCCCAGAACGTACAATCGTCCGATCACGTGCACAGACGACGACCGCCACCACCACGACCTTTTCACGACGACCACCGCGGCGATCACCGCGACGGCGGCGGCGGCTGCAGCGGCGGCGCCCGCGGGGGCGGAGGCGGCGGCGACCGTGGCAATCACGTCACTTGCGCAGTCTTGGAAACACTCGGAGCCCTCCGACGAGTCGCACGTTGGTCTTGCACGGCTCCGCGACCGCCCACCCCACCCTCAGCTATCCCTCAGAAGGCCCAGCATCTCCACGCGCCAACGGCGGCCCTTGCCTGGGTAACCTCTCCCTGTGTATTCAGGGGTTCGTGGATTACAGTAGCGCAATGTTTACTGACAGCGACTGCGCATTCGGATAGAACCAGAGAGCGCGTAGCGCGCGTGATTCTAGCGTGTATATATATATATATATATATATATGCATGTGTGTGCGTGTGTGTGTGTGTGCGTGTGTGTTGCTATTCGTTGTAGTGTTGTGCCTCTTGGTGCCCTTGCCGGGCCTCAGGACAGTGAAACAACGATCCAGTGTGAAAAGCCGGTCCCCAGGAAGGGGTCCAGATTTTTTTGGGGAGCACGTTATGAAGAGTTTCTCGGTTCTCTGGGGGGTCTCAGGCAGTCTTGGGGCTGCCTTGAGGCGCTCCTGGGGCAGTTTTGAGCCGTCGTGGTGTTTTTGGGGGCTCTCTGAGTCTTGCCCGAATGTACCCGAAACCCAACATCCTCGGAGGCCATAGCATGGATGATCCTTATTGTTCTGATGTGTTTGCCTTTGAGGGCTTCGCTGGAGGTCTCTTTGGGTGTCTCTTGGAGGTGCCCTGGGGCCTCTTGGAGCATTTTGGTAGGATCTCGGAACCTGTGGGAGCTCGTTGGGCCGTCTATGGGTTGAGTTGGGGCGTCTTGCAGCCGTTTTGGAATTCTCTTTGGCTGTATTGGAGCTGCCTTGAGGCCGAGAAGAGTGACGGAAAGCAGCATCACGGGCGGATGCACACATTGACGACGCATGCTGCATGACGAGCAGGAGGATGCACATGAAACAAACATTACCACGCAACAGACGAGCATTTTCACACGCCCCGAACTGCTGGAGGCACAGCGGCGAATCGGGAGGTGGGCGCCAAGTTGTAGACTGAGGAGCCTCGCCAATGCGCTGGTGGCTGCTCTGATGGTCGCAGCTGGCGCAAAAACGGAGAAAAGTGCTTCAGGATGAGGGCCGCCTCTGAAGGCCAGTTTGATCTGCCTTGCTTGCACGTCCCCTGTTGGCCCGGCGAGGAGTACCTCGAGAAGCAGCGCATCATGGATCCGCTCTGCTCGCTGCTCCCTCGAGTTTGGCAATGGGGAAGGGCGAGGGGGCAGCATCGCAGGATGACGAGGAGGAGGATGAGAAGGAGCAGGAGGAGGAGGAGGAGGAGGAGGAGGAGGAGGAGGAGGAGGAGGGAGAGGAGGAGGAGGAACCGCACATATCATGACAGTGTTCTCGTCCTCGCGCCCTAGCTCGAAGAGGGGGGGAGAGAGGAGCGACCTCCAGATCTCAAAACCAAGGTCCTGTTTACTGGGGCTCCTGCAGATTCGATGCGTCACCTGGGGGGTCAGATCATGGGATATTGTTCTTTCGTCGCAGAGTTTGCTCCCAGGCTTGCAGCTATTTCGGTCGGTTTCTTTTGTATGGGTAAGTGCTGGCGCTCACCTTGCATCCCCTGTACAGAGCGTCGTGCGGTGTTCTTGGCGAATGCCGTAGGCCCTGCTGGTTCGGCGTGCGAGGCCTTCCTTCCGTCTAATGCCCAGGTGGAGGAGCTCACGGCTCGGGTTGTTTTCTTTTGGCGCAGGGCGATGGAGGAGGAGGAGGAGGAGGAGGAGGAGGAGGAGGAGGAGGAGGAGAGAGGAGGAGGAGGAGGAGGAGGAGGAGGAGGAGGAGGAGGAGGAGGAGGAGGAGGAGGAGGAGGATGTCAGTGGCGCCTCCGCCGGGACGCCTCCGAGGAAAACTGCATAATCATAAACTTTCGGTCCGCGCGGATTTCTGGTATCTTTAAGTCGGGCCTGTCCCCCTACAGGGGGATTTTGGGCGAAATAGCAGAATAGACGTCGTGGGAGGGGGCAGGTCCCCGTACCAGTGTCTTCGGAGGAGGTTCCGCGCCATCGGAAGGTTCCCCCGCTTGGGTCCGACTACCGAGTTCGGTGATTACGATGGTATCAGAAGTGGACCATCAGCCCAGGGCGGCATCTCAGCGAGTGGTCCCCCCTTCGGCGACATACAGATCGAGCGAGAGCGAGGCTCCCACCTTGGACCCCGAGGGCCACCTCACTCCTGGAGCGAATTCGTTGTTCACTACGTCAGGATTCTCGAGGAGCTTCGGAAGGTTTCGGAGGACATCGAGGTATCCATGGAGTCGTGGGACAGGGTCCCTCTGGTGCTCCTGGCGGAGGGGGGATCGGCAGGACTGGTTCAGGGAACTTGACCTCTCGGTTGTTCGGGCGCCTTGGTTCTCCGTTCGGGTTCTTCCTCCTGCACAGGCCCCCTTGGCCATGGTCTAAAGGTTTCGGAGACTCCCGAAGGGCAGGATGTGGGAATGCGCTGTGCCATCGAAGGTTGTTCCGAGTGGTTTCTTACTAAGCGGTGGTTGCATTTTTATATTCGGAATTCCCATGGCTTCAGGACCTTCATCGCGGAGGCAGTGCAGGGGACTTCGTGCTTCGTTTTTGGGAGTAGATTTCAGAGCAGAAACTCGCCTTACAACCACGTGCTCGACCCTTTCCTGTCGGAGTTTTGTAGGGCGTAGCTCAGCACCACGCTTAATCGAGGAACCCCAGTTGGTCCATTCTCCTGTCGGCTGTGCACGGTTGAAGTCGCCCGTGAGGCCGGATTCTATACACATACATACACACGCGCGCATTTCGAGGACCTCCTTCGCGTGCCGGCTCGCACAGATGGGAGAGCCTAAGGCAAGTGGAAGGGCGCAGCAGCGGGATCGGAAAAGGAGGCCAAGGCGGTGAAGTTGCTGGAGGTGGTCGGGGAGGGGATGGCGAGCAACCAGAAGGGGGGGGGGGCAAGGGCGGCGCCCTGGCGGCGCTCCGGGTGGTGCTCGCGCGCCTCGCTCCCACCAGCGCGCGCGAGCTGGCCGAGGTGACTGGCGCCTGCTACGCGTCCTTCATGGTGACCGCAGGAGCTCCGTCCGTGAAGACGCTCCAGGGCACGGGTCGCCAGTACGCGGTGGACTGCAAGGCCGACGGGGAAGGTCATCAACATGGCTCGTCGTGACCGCACGTGTTCAAGGCATGTCTCGAATGGGCCTTCACGGAGGGGGCAACGACGACTCCAGCGCGGGCCAAGACACCGGTCGAGGATTATTGGAAGTTAGAGGTGATCTTGGCTACAGAGGCCCTTCACACGTTTCAGGCGCATTGTCGTCGGCTTGCTGGTTCAACAAGAAGACCCAGTCCGCACCGGATTGCTTCAAGTCTAGATCATGCTCGGGGTTCAGCAGCAGGCCAACAAGATGGACGGCCACGGCATCACACTGCCGGGGGCGATCTCAATGATTTGTCATAGCGGCAGGCACGGCGGAGAAGAGGACCTACTTCCTCCCTTGCAGCCCCACGAGAGGGGACTTCGAGCGGGAGGCGGCGAAACTGCTCCAGAGGCTGGGGTTCAAGGGCAAGCCAGAGGAGACGGCGGACGGTGAGTGGAGTACTCGGCCTCTGCGGGCCCGTCTTCCTGCAATTAGTGCGCTCGCGCTGCCGAAGTGTACATCCAGGGCCACGTCAGGGATGGTGTCCTCCTCGCCCTTCAGGCTCGGACCCCCATCCCAATCGGGGTCTTCGGGGCCGTCTGATGTCAGGGCGGTGCCTCGTCGCGGTGCCCCGTTTGCGGTTGTGCTGGGTCGGGTTTCTTCGATTTTCGCTTCTGGACCATACAGCGGTGAAGTGCATAGACGAGCCCCGTCGGCGTTTCTTTTTGGGGGGCCTCGTTTTTGTCTGTGGTGTTAAGAGGTTCTTGCACGCTTGCCTGGCTGTTGCTATTTTGTCGGAAGCACATCATCGGAGCAGCGGCGCTGCTCTGCTCAGCCCTGCTTTTCCTCCCTCTTACGCCATCCTTCCTAGCCTCAGCCATTCTTCGCAATTCTGCCAAGCTCTCATTCCCATCCCTCCTCCGTTTCGCTGCTCTTCGCTCTCCATTTCCAGATTCCCTTTGGGGACCATCCGTTCACATCGGGACGAGCTCTATAGACATATAGCATACTAACATGGGCTCAAGGATTACATGATGATTATATACACGAACCGAGAAACGTACAGAACGTGTTGCCACCGCCCGTCGCACTTTGCGATCTTTTTCACGATCTTTTCGGGCACGCCACATCAGTTTTCCTCCCTCCCGCCGCCGCGTCCCCTCCACACCTCCCGTCTCCGCCTCCTCCTGTCGTTTCTCTTTGTCGCGCTCCGTCGCCCAAGCTGGGGTCCGAAAGTGCTTAGTTTCGAGAAAAACTCGGTTTCAGGAGAAATTAGGCTGGCACCTCCGACCAGCAATGCTATTATAACGCAGCTTTTCTGTTTTGGTCCACGTGGCGTTTCATCTTCCAGCCTCCCGCTGCGGAAGGATAGGACATACCGAGGAAACGGAATGGAATTGTAATGAGCGGGGTTCGTTGTCGGATTTCTTCCACAGGGCCGTCGCGCCAAAGGGAAACACACATTGCGCTGATGTCGTGTGTGGGTCGCACGAGCAAGCGCTGCATACCATCAGCTGCAGCATCGCAGGGGCTTGGAACCGAGCCGAAGCCCCCAGTTTTTGCATCGACGGTTGTGCTTCTGCCGCCGACGAAAGGCGATGGTGGCAGGGAGGTGTGGGCAGGGAAAGGGATGGACTGAGGGAGGGAAGCGGAATGACGGAGAGCCGTCTGGCGGGCGGCTGAAGCGATGTCCGCGGGGTCTGCTGTCGTTGTGCACTGATTGAGCCAGCCGAGGAGCTATTCAACGATCTCTGCGCGTCCGTCGCCTTCAACAAACCGCAGGAGCGCGGAGGGGGCGAGCTTCTCTCTGCTCGTTCCTGCTCCTCGTCTTCCCCCCCCCTCCGCATCCGCCTGCTTCCCGCCTCCCCTTTCATCCTCTCCCTCGTCCTCGGCTCCCTGCTCTTCCGCCCCCCTTCCTCTTCGACCCCCTCCGTTTCGACCCTTCTGCTCCGTGTCCTCGCCCTTGGTTTTCGCCTGCGTCCTGCTGGCCCCCCCCCCCCCGCTTCTCCCCTTTCCTCCCCACCCCGCGGGTCCCAGGACGTGCGCGCGTTCCTGCTGCAGGAGCTGGCCAAGCGGGAGCGGGAGGGCGCCCAGGCCCCTGCGGGGAGACGGGGCGGGCGGCGCGCGGCCTCGGCCTCCTCGGCGGCGCGCAGGGGCGGCCCTTTTGTTTGCCGAAGCGGCACTCGGTTGAAGTCGGGCCTGTCCCTCTTACTCTGGGGTCAATTTCCCGACAGTTTTTGATCACGCAGGAGGAAGATTCAAAACAAATCAAACAAATGCTCATGTTGCATTTTCCGCCCAAGCGCTATACCCATACCGCTGCCCTTCCCTCGCCGCGACGGCCAGATTCGCTTCGGATTCCTGGTCAGAACGCACCCCTGAAGAGGCTAGTGGAGCAGCGGTTTTGCTGTGTCCCCCAACCAAGCGCCGCGCACCAAAGGGCACTCTTGCCTAGGGTTGCTCTTGCGTGTAGCCCAGATCAGCAGGGAAGCGGATGAGGAGGGAATGGGGGGAGGAAAAGGGAGAGTGAAGGGAGTGGGCAAGAGAGGGTGAAGGGAGTTGGTGGAGGAGGAGGAGAAGGAGAAGGAGAAGGAGGAGGCGAAGGGCGAGGATGAGGAGGCCAAGGGCGAGGAGGAACCACAAGAGGCCGAGGAGGAGGAGGAGGAGGTTCGTAACCATTTTTGGTTCGATGTTCGGCGCGTGCTGCTCTGCACCACTGTCACGTCCGATCCCTTTTACTTCCATGGGTCCCACTGCCATGGAAGAACCGGCTTCTTTCATCGGCCATGTCCATGGCCCATGGACGATGATTTCGCCTCCTTTCACATCCAGCGGGGGTACTGTTCCAAAGGCTCCAACTGGCGGGGCACGGTGCTCGGCGTACCGATCGTTCTCGAACATGGTCAAGAAGGCGCTGGTCAACATTGTCATCGCGTTCCCCAGTTTCCAGCATATCGCTACGGTGTTTTGTGGGGGAGTTCGTGTAAGCTGTCGAGGGCTTGTGTGGTTCGCGGACGGACGAGCCTAGCCTTTCGTCAGAACTTCAGAACTGGAAGTGACAGGCATGACACACCCTTGATGACAGAGAGTGTTTGCCGAACGGGCCCCTGAAAGTACCGAATGCCAGCTTTTTCAACCAGGAGAACAGCGAGCAACATGGCAGAGATGGTATTTCATTTCTCAGCTCTCTTGGCGAACCGAAAGGCATTTCAATTGCGGACAGGCTGGACGACCGTACGTCTATCTTGCTGGAGCTGCGCGCTGACATCTTGAACCATTCTTCTCACGAGCAGCAACAGCAGCACAAGTCCGACACAAAGGAACTGGAAAAGATGGCAGGCCAATCTTCCATTCAGAGTCAGCAGGATACGGATATGCAGCAGCGGGCGCAGACTAACGCCCAAAACTACGAGTGCGCCAAATTCAAGACGGAGCTGATGGCGGACGCAATCGGAGTGGCCGAGTCACTGGAGGCGAAATTCAACATCGAGAACTGATACGTATCTCCGAATGGCCGAAGGCCAATTCCCGCCAGCCAGAAAGAGTATACCACCAAGAGGCAGGAGCTCACAGGCATAGCAGACGGCGTATATGCGAGGCCCCCCCGGTCATGCATAGTAGCAGGGCGTGGCATGGAGTGGAAGTTCAGGGATGTGAGGGTGAAGCGAGCACTTGCGCCCCGCGGCCTAGAGTGTCACGGTTTTTTTCAGAGGGCCGCAAAATGAAGACGACGGATCCGTCGTAACAGTTCTTGCGCCGAGCAGATGGACGCTCATCGGCAGCGTATTGCTGCGGAGTGCGACAGTGAGCGGCTTGAATAAGGAACGCTTGCTTTTCAAAAGGGGCTCGGTCGTTCCTTAGGCTTACATGCGTTATTTACAATTCCTTATGCGGTATGTAATTATTTATCGTTCTTCATGCGTTATTCCTTGGGATAAAAAAAGGGCTTCGTTCCTTATTGATCGTTCCTTAGATCAGGCCGATGCCTGTCTTATCATCACCACGCTCTCTCTTATCCTCAGGCTCCCCCTGTACATCAGCTCCTCCCAGAGTTGTGCAGCACTTTGCCAGCCGTACCTGGGGGAGGAAGGGGTGTGGAGGGTTTCGAGTAAGATTGCGCGTGCGGTGTGTTTGTGTGTATGCTGCGTGTGTGCGTGTATGCTGCGCGCGTGGTCCGCGCGTGTTTATCGGAGGGGGGAGCAGGCGGATCTCCCCCCAGACCTGCGCAGCTGATGCGCACACGTCGAGCTCCACAGAGCGAGGCTGTCGCGCTCTGGGTTCCTCAGCAGCGAAGCGGGTCCTCTTACGGACCTTTGCATATTCTGTGCTGTATGGGGTCTTCGCTGTTTAGATTTAGCCTGCCTCCAGCAAGGAAGCAAAGTGAGTTGGATCAGGCTCGGTATCTGCCCCACTGTAGGGCAGATTTCCGCCCTGGGGGAGGGGGAGGTGAATAGGGCGGGTGGGAGGAGGATCCCTTCCCGCTCCTGGGCGGCCCTGGTTCCGACATTTTTTTCGGCCAGGCTGCCGAGAGGCATCATTAGCCTCTGTCTTCCGTTTCTTCCCCATCTTTTCGGGTGGTTTGAACTGTTTTAGTTGCGGCTCTGTGCTCGCTGACCCGAGTTGTTCCGATTCCGGTTCCGAGGAGGAGGAGGAGGAGGAGGAGGAGGAGGAGGAGGAGGACCAGTGTAAACCCAAGGCGCATCAACGATGTTGGAATCAACCCTTCTCACAGGCTCCCTCGTCATGGGCCTCGACATGGACTCACATCAACTGAGGGAAGTGTCCCGTTGGGAGACAACCGTTTGAAGATCCTGAAGCGTGCCAGGACAGCATGTTCGGGAATGCAACGCCACGAATGACATGGGCTGTTGCGTCCTGGCGATCCCGAATCGTGCCCTAACGCCATTCATGGAACTTCAACACTGCGAATTAACAGAACTCTTGCGCCATGGCGATCCTGAATCGTTCCCAGAAGCGTCTCTTGTACGCTAGCCATGGGAGCCCGTGAAATTGTTGTAGTGTTTCAGGACGAGCGTGTGCTAAGGTGAAAGCCACATTTTGAAGATGGCCCGCCCTCCATCTGTGAGCTCTTTGCAGTTTCCTTAAGACGAATATGCGCTGCGCTACGGCGAGAGCCACATTTTGAAAACGGCCCGCCCTCCATCCGTGAAGCTCTTGCAACGTTTGAAAACGAGTGTGCGCGGTGCTAGGGCGATAGCCACATGTTCAAAACGACCAGCCCTCAATCCGTAAACTTCTTGAGCAGGTTAAAGACGAATGTGCGCGGCGCTGAGGCGAGAGCCATACATTGAAAACCGCCCGCCCTCAATCCGTGAATCCGTTGTCAATTTTCAAGTTTCAAGGTCGTACAAAGTAAAGGAAGTTTCAGGCGAAACGCCCAGCCCGCCCTTTCCACTGGCCGCCGTGGTGCGACAGAGTGGAGTTGCTTATATGGAGAAAGAATGGGGAAGGAGGAGCAGCAGGAGGAGGAGTAGGAGGAGGAAGAGCAGGATGAGCAGCAGCAGGAGGAGGAGGAGGAAGAGAGTGTGTGGGAGAAGGGGGTTGGAGAGGAGTCTCAGCCAGTCCAATTTCGCAGGCCTAGAGGTTGACACCAACACCAATATCGGCGGTGTGCCTCCACCGAGAGAAGAAGATCCCGATCTCGTCGACGGTGGTACTATTCTGGCTTCCAAGGTGACCGACATATTACCACCAACACCGGCATCGAGGAACATCTTCCCCCTGTGGCGGCAACGCCCTGTGTTGGTGTTGGTGCCAACTTCCAGGCCTCCAACAATTGTCCAATATGTTCCCCGTCTTACGCCGCCCAAGCGAGCCCAGGCTGGCCTTTTCGAGGACTCGGAGATCGTCGCTGTCTTCCAGCTGGCCGACCTCAAGTCGCACGGTCCCGCGCGCGGCGTTCTGAACATTCCTGTCCGTCGCCGTTCGTCTGAGCATCGTCTCGCTGATCGGCGCGGGGCCCTGCACACCCCCTCCCCCCACTGGAAGAGACATGCGCCTCCTCCTCCGCCTCCTCCTTCCTCCTCCTCCTCCTTCTGCTCCTCCTTCTGCTCCTCCTTCTGCTCTTCCTCCTCCTCCTCCTCCTCCTCCTCCTCCTCCCTCCTCCCTCCTCCTCCTCCCCCTCCTCCCCCTCCTTGTACTCCTCCTCCTCCTTCCTCCTCCCCTCCTCCCCCCCCCCCCCCCCCCCCTCAGGCGTAGACACTGGGCCTCCGCTCCCCCTCCCGCCGCCCCTGGACACGCAGATCGACGATAAGCGCGCCCCCGTGCCCCACGTCTTCGCGCGGCGCATTGGCGCACAGAGGAGACGCCTCGAGCGAGCCGAGGTCATTCCAGAGCAGTCAGGCACATGCACCCTGCCGTCTTCTCTTGCTCTGCCGCGCCCTCGCTCTCGCTTGGCCGTGGGCACCTCGGCACACTGCACACTCCTGCCCCTGCGCAGTCCCCGCCCAGTCCTTGCGCAAGCCTGTGCAGTCACGCGGTTGACTCAATGATATCGGCTAGGCAGCACCCGGTCGTTGATCCCCTCAACTTCCCCCGTTCGGCGAAACGACGAAACCCTGAACAATCAGGGAATACAGCAACGAGCACTCAGGGCAAGACGAGCCTTGTGCTTCCGCCTCCCCCTCGTGGTTCAAGGGTCTTCGTGCGCATCACCAGCGGGGAGGCCCCGGGTCTGTGCCACCCTCTTTCGTGGCACGTTTGGTGCGGCTTCTCTCTCCGCAGCGCTTCCTCTCTGTAGACACGGTGGTCCACATGCGATTGTTTTCTTGCCCGCCAGTCGACACGCTATCAGTCGTGCGTGATGATGGTGCTGGTGATGATTGTAATGATGGCCGTGATGATGCTGCTTCTGATGATTGTGAGGATGAGGGTGAGGAGGATGACGATGCTGCTGTCGATGAAGATGACGAAGCTGATGATTAGGATGATGCTTGTGCTGATGATGCCGAGGTTGAGGTTGATGCTGATGTTGTTTCTGATGATGACGATGACGATGATGATGACGATGATGATACTGATAATGCTGATGATGATAATGATGATGATGATGACGATGATGATAATGATGATGATGCTGATGATGCTGATGCTGATGCTGATGCTGATGGTGATGGTGATGATGATGGTGATGGTGGTGGTGATGGTGATGGTGCTGAAGATGCGGATGATGCTGATGAGGAGGATGATGCTAGTGATGATGATCTGTGCCGCCCTGGAGAGCACGGTCGAATGCTCGAACGCATAATCGGCGTACCGTGACACAAACGAACTCACGCACGCCCACCAGCACGGGTAGCCAACGATCCCAGCGCTCATGCAGATGCACCACCCCCTTGCCAAGCCCACCGCCTACTTGTAGTGCGAAGGAGTTTCTCGACACACGGGAAGTTTCCCCGCAGCCGAATCGGCCACAGACTTGCCGTCAGGACGCTGCAATCGGGCCCATGTTGGGCTCAGGAGGGGCTCTCCCTTCCGGCCCGTTACTCGGTTCCAGGTCGGGGAACCCATTCGTATCCGTGGCCCGGGCTCGCCGTGCCCAAAGAAGGCCGTGCACTGACGGTTGGGCCGCCTCACTCCAGCGAGGAAGTCCCCGTGGCGCTGCGCGGCGGAGCAGCGTCGATGAAGTCGGAAACTGGAGCATATACACCTCAGGCGATGCTTAAGAAAACTTGAGTTTTCGGCCAGAGTCTCGATAATTCTTAACGTTTCAATGTACATCCTAAGTTTTAAATAGAAATGTTGGGTTTTTATCCAAGTTCTGAGACTATGAGTTTCTTAACCCGTGATTTCTTAAGCATTTCGCAGGGTGTACATTGCCAGTGGCGGGCTGCGTTTCAATCCCAGGACTTTTGGAGGGTCGGGGACGACGTCGGGGTGGTGTGGTGTATACTTATTCCTTGCTTCCCTGGGGAAGCAGCGAACAGAATATGCACCAGGATCCGGTACACACCAGGATCCGCCTTCCTGTGTGAATTTCGGTGCGGGGCCGGAAGAAGCGTCGGTGTATAGAGTTCGGCTCCTTCGAAAGACCCAGCTGATGCTGCGCCGCTGCTGCACGAGCGGCCTTCCGTCGTCACGGGCAGCTCCCGTGCAGCGCTCGTGGTCACGGCGGCATCGGGGCCGTTCCTCAGCGCAGCCCGCGGAAAGCGGGGGGCATGGCGGGGCCCCTTGTGTGGGAGGCTGGTCCTCACCTCAAGTGTGGCAAACTTTGGCAGCGGAGCGAGGACGACGAGGAGGAGGATGAAGATGAGCAGGATGAAGATCAGGAGGGAAAAACGCGTATCCTGGACGGGAGCTTTTGCATCGTGCCGGCAGATGTTTCGGGATAGTGGAGTCATCTTTCTTGGCTGAAGCGCTAGCGCTGGAGTGGGCGATCGAACATTTATTTTCGGCATTTGGGTTGGAATGAGTGAGCTGGCACGCAGAAATTTCTTTGCAGCGGGCAGTACCAAATTATCTATAGTCTCTTTATCTCTGGCTGTGTGCTTGACGCATCGTGCCTCTACTGAAAGAAAGACACAATTAATCGTCGATTCCCCCGAAAATATGGGAAACTATGGGGGTGTGTGGGGGGGAAGACAAAAACCCAGAACATATAAGACGTATGAATTTGTGTGTCCCATGGCCCCTTCGAAAGAGGCCTCTTTGTGGTCTCTTGGGGCCCTTTGGGGGCTTCCTGGCGGCCTCCTATGGGCGTCCTGAACCTTTCGAGGACCTCTTGAGGTCGCATCGGAGGCCTCTTCGGGCCTCTTCGGGCCCCGTCTTGGGCTCATCGTGGAGGCATCTTGGGCTGTCTTGGTCTGTCAGCGACCCGCAAATATGGGAGCGCCAGATTTTGTCAAACACTTGAAGAACTCAGCGATTTGGGCTTCGCGTGGGGGCCCTTCTGGAGGGCCTCTTGGAGCCTTTTGGACCGCATTCATCTGCTTAGACCGTATGACTCCACGACGTCATTTTCTTCGGAGAGTATTTCGCCAGGCCGCGCGCGTCGTACGTGGCTTACTGCTGGGCCACTTTGCCCCCGTCAACGGTCGTTTACAAACTGCTGCTGCTCCTCTTCCTCCCACCTCCTATCTCCTTCCTCCTATCTCCTCCTCCTCCTGCTCCTTTTCCTCCTCCTCCTCCTTCTGCTCCTCTTTCTACTCCTTCTCCACCTCCTCCTTCTCCTCCTCCTCCTCCATTCCTTTTCTTGTAACTCGTCCCTGTCGCACCCCGAGGCCGGTCGAAGGGGCGGGCTGGGCGTTTCGCTTGAGACTTCGTCAATATTTTTGACCCTGAGCGTAAAACATTGGCATGCAACAGTCACACGGTTGGAGGGCTGATGGTTTTCAAAGAGTGGCTCTTGCTTTAGTGCCGAGCACATTCGTTTTAAACATTTGCAAGAGTCTCACATTTTGAGGGCGGGTAGGGTGGTTTCCAACATGTGGCTCTCGCTTTAGCCCCTCGCACATTCGTCGAACAAGACTTTGCACGAGTTTCACGGATTGAGGGCGGCTGGTTTCGAACATGTGGTTTTCGCCAAAGCGCCGTGCACATTCGTTAAACCATGCAAGAGTTTTACGTATTGAGGGCGTGTGTTTTTTCAAAAAGTGGCTCTTGTCTTAGACCTGCGCACATTCATGTGAAACACTTGCAAGAGCTTCACGGGTTGAGGGTGGATGGTTTTCAAAGTGCGGCCCTCGCTTCAGCGCCGCGCGCATTTGCTTTAAAACAAGCCAATCGCTTCACATCTCGAAGGCGGTTCCTTTTCAACATGTGGCTCTCGCCTTAGCGCCGCGTCCATTCGTTTTTAACTTTTGCAAGAGTTTCAATGGTTCTCATGGTTAACGTACCCAGAAGGGTGTATTGGAACGATTCGTGATTGTCAGGTCGCAACAGTTACGTTGATTCGCGGTGCTGAAGTCCCAGGAGTTTGCGTTCTGGCACGATCCAGGATCGCCAAGACGCAGCAGTCATGTTAACCCGTGGCGTTGAAATCCTGAAAACAGTTTTTTGGTACGCATCAGGACTTTCACACGATTGTCCCCCAACAGGGCAATTGCTTCAATGGACATGGACTTTTGTAGGGGCCTATGAAGAGGGAGCTTGGAGGGAGGGTGTATTCCAGCATCGTTGAGGAGTCTTGGGTTCACACTGGTACTCCTCCTCCTCCTCCTCCTTCCCTCTCTCTGCTTTGTCTGCTGGACACCTCGTTATTCGGCTACGCTCGTCTCCACCCCCTCCCATCCTGCTGGGCCGCCTACGATCCGATTTGGTGCGATTCGATCGACCGGCTGGGGCCACGATTCCGATCCGATTCGATTCGTCTCGATTCGCCGACATCGACCAGGGCTGGCCGCAGCCAGGAGCGGCGATTCGGTCTCGACTCGAGTCGGGGCGATCTGCCGGCGACCCGACCCGTTCCCGATCCGATCTGATTTCGCGGTTCGATCCATCTCAGGCCTGCCCCCCTCTTCCCTCCTCTCCCCCCCCGCCCTCCTCCCCAGAACTCCGACTTCGTGTTTTTCGCAACGTGGCTCCCCA